CACAGCACAAACGCCACTGAGGTCGGCTCCTTGCCATGTCAGCAAGTGTATCCAGCCAAACGTGTTCACCGTCTTTCGGACCCCAACCCGGGAGCCGTGACGCTCTAACCGAGGCCAGCACAGAAATGAGGGCCTTCATTCCTCTTGACCAAGTCATCACTTGTACACCCCTCCTCTTCTTCCATCCACATCCCCGGTGAGCAAACAACGCCCCTCGTGAAAGTTGACAGGCTGGCACGCGCAACACATGGCCCAGCCGTCGTAGCGTGGTGCGTGAAATGACGGTGCTGAGCGGTTCAGTTCCTTTTCCTTTGCCGTAAACAAGGCGTCGAACACGCTCGTTACTCACGCGGTGTTCCCACCATATGTGAGCCAAACTGCGAAAGCACCGATGGTCGAATGTAACTAGCCTCTTCATGTCCGCCGATCTTAGGGGCCCAGATTTCGCAACCGTACAGTAAGGTCGAACGTACCGCTGCATTGTACACTCTACCCTTCAGGGCGAGAGTAATGTCGCGCCGCCGCCATAGGTGGCGAAGCTTAGCAAAAGCACTTCGAGCTTTTGCTTTACTGTTCGTGATCTCATCTTCGATCCCAAAGGTGCTGATACAACTTCCCAGGTAGTTGAATTTCCGAACGACTTCTAGCTGATCCCCACCAAGGGTCAGCGCAGGAGGCGATCCCTGCCAATCTTGGAGGAACGCTTTGCACTTCGATGGTGCAAAGTAAAGCCCGAAGCGGCTGACAGCCAGTGCTAATCTGTCCAGCGCGGCTTGGCACGTCTGGGAGCTGTCACAGATGAGGGCAATGTCGTCTGCATACTCCAAGTCAAGAAGTCGTTCTCCTGGGAGTGGCTCCACACCTTCCAAGTCATGTCCTGTAAATGCAATCTGCATGACTTCGTCCATAGCGATGCTGAGGAGGAAAAGTGACAGCGGGCATCCTTGTCTCACACCGCTGGAGATACTGAAGGGTGGCGACAGCTTGCCGTAAGCCCTCACTCTGCCCGTGCTACGCGCATATAATGCTTGGATAATATTTACATATTTCTCGGGCACACCTTTCCTGAGTAGACAATTCCAAAGGGCACATCGATCAACCGAATCGAAGGCACCTTTGATATCGAGGAACACGACTGCGGCGGGCCGCCAATATATGTGACAGTGCTCCAACAACTGACGCAAGGTGAAGATGTGATCGATGCAGCCACGACCCCGACGAAACCCGGCTTGCTCCTCAGGAATATAGCTTTCACGAGCGCCAGTCAGTCTGTGAAGAATTATGGAGGCGATGGAGATCAGACTGATTCCTCTATGGTTGCCGCATCCCGAGCGCGAGCCGCCTTTGAAGATGGGAACAATAACGGAGCGGCTCCAGTCGGTTGGGACAGTCTCCTGCTCCCACAGTTTTACTAGGAATTCATGTAAAGCATCAACAAGAGCAGAGCCTCCGAATTTGAAGAGGGCTGAAGGAAGATCATCTGGTCCCGCGGCTTAGTTCAACTTCAACAATCCGATCTCACGTTCGACTTCTGAGCAAGAGGGTGGATCCGAAGGGACAGCCCACGGAGCAGGGCGATCACTGGCCGGCGAAGAATCGAACAATTCCGACCGATTAAATTGCTTTTCAAAATGCTCAGCCCAACGCTCCAAGCGTTTTGATAAGTTGTGGATATGCTGTCCACTCTCGTCACGTATAGTTTCACTAACACCAGATCTCCTGCTGCCCGTTTCCCGTATCAGACGGAAGAACTTACGATGTTTGCCAAGGGCAGCGGCCACTTCCATCTCTGACGCACGATGAGACCACCA